TGAGTACGGTGACCCGGCGGCCGAAATGGGCGGATAAGCTGACTGTTGATTCAAGCAACACCGTCACAAACGTTATCTGTGTTTGAACATGAAATTCCATCGTTACCGGAATGCAAAAGTAATAACGCGGTGAAGATCGTCAAACATTGGCAGCATCAGGCATCGGCGTTTACGACAGTACAAGGGTCGGGTCGGTCTGAAAGGGCTGAGGGTCGTTGGGACGATCGCGCATCTGCTCTCAGTCCCACGGTCGAACTTACTTGCCGTAGAGATTTGGGCATTCATCGCTTCCTTCTGGCCTTGAGGTTTACGAGGTAGTTTCACTGATGGTAAAGATGACTCCTTTTCAAGCTTTTAAAAATGCTGTTTTGAATTTGTGAGTTTTCCGCAACTTTGGCCCTGCTTATTTTTCATTTCCTCTATTGTTTAATAGTGTATGAATAAATTTCTGTGTTTAAACCGAAAAGCATGCCGATGGTAGTTAATGGCTAAGTGACCCTCAATTTTGAGTTTCTACCTTTGCAAATGGTACGATGCCCTATTCTTGTGCTCCTCCATAGTTCGTCAGTTGTCATCGGCATGCTATGACGCCACAGCGATGATCGCGCAAGGACACCCACCGTACTGCTAAGCGGTTGTTTACGGTTTACAGACGTCGATCGGTTGCTAGAGTCACGCGTTTCTTGGCAGGCTGCACAGGATCGAATTGGAAAAGGGGGTGGGTTATTTACTTAAGTGAATTTCTAGTCAATATGAAACGTTTACGCTGCGAGGATGTTTTTCGGTCCTGTACGTTTAACCGTCGTCATTGTCGTTCACGTTTCGATCCTCTCTAAGATTTTGCCATAAACTCCTGTTTTCTGCCATTCTGGTGCGCGAATTAACCTTCAGATTAACCTCCTATAGATCTGAAGTTTTTTCAATAGGTCGTTTCCTGCTTTCCTCTCTATCCCTCTTGGAACTGAGTCTAACGTTCCGACAATGTCGGTTATTCTTGAAACGTGTCCTGTTATTTTTATTGTGTTTATGTTATTTTGCTCTCGCCTACTCATTTGTGTTGCTGTATCCTTTTCTTATTCCCAGCGTACATCTTTCGGTGCTGCTTTGCGTATTCTGCAGATTAAGAAACGGTTTCAGCCTTAGGTTCCACGTTTTCTACATGCGTGGACTAGCGCTGAGAGCACACGGTGGTCGAAAACTTTCCGTTTCGAGCACAGGTCCAGTTTCTCGGATTGGAACATCCTCAATCTTCGAAAAGTGTTCCATCTTGTCATTTTTCATTCATCATTCTGTTGATTTCCCACGGTCGGTTCTCTGGTGAGACACAGGTGAGTGTCCCGGAAGACGTAAGTCGACGTGAAGAAACAAAATCTGTTATTACGCTTGATTTACACAAACACGTCGCTTCTTTGGATTCCTATCACCTAATCACACCTTCGTTTCGTTTCCAACGGCTCAGAGAACCTTTGAAGGAGGCAACGGCTGTATCCTGGTATATACGTATCGTAGGTGTTATGTCATCATGTTAGAGAAGTGCCCTAGCAAACAACCCTTAGACCGTCAAAACGAAACGACTCGAATGTGTAAGCTGTCTCGTGCTATCAAAAACTAGCTTAGCTACTAAATTCAGAATATCATGGGCATTTTCTGTTTTCATACCACTGCCACTAGTTATGACTCGTCATAAACTCCTCTGGATAAACTTGGCCTCGGTGTCTCCGTGGCGAAATAGCAGATGAGGACTAGATTAAGAAGCCGCACGTCAGGACGAAATACGATGGAGGATAAATTCCTCAGCCGTGAAGACTGTAACTAACTCTGGAACGTTCGGTTAACGAGGCAGTGGAAATCAAGTATTCACCAACCACTCTATGCCTTTCACGCAAAACTGTTTAAAGGACGGTCATCGATGGATGGAAGAGCTTTCCTCCGATCATGTTATTTCTCAAGGCGCATATGATTAAGTCTTTTTATACTTTTGTCTACCTTCCAATCGTAAGCGCCATTTACGTTCTGCGTCAGGGGCTGCTGGATTCTAAATGTAATCTGCGCTGCGGACTAGATCCGCTCGTCGCACAGGTGTTTGGTGGAAGTCAAGCGAAAGCTGAGCGCAACTCTGACCGCACAGACGAAATTAGGGTAAATACACCTTACACTTAACGAGCGATCCGAAACTGCCTGATGGAAGATATGAGAAAATGTTAAGTAAAATATCGACATGCAAAATATTATTATGTAGTTTTACTGGGAGTCAGCGGATGATGTGCATGATTACCTCAGAAGTGGGCCTCAAGTTAAACCCCCTTGAAGGCAGCTGCCTCCCCGTCCCGTGACAAGGATCCAGGCAGAACAGTGGAACCGAGCGTATGTCATGAAATTAACGAAGAAATCCCGCAGTTCATATATCTGGCTGACCTCAGCCCATATTGAACACGGTATTTGTGACCAACACCTTAACAGGAGGTTTGTACTGGCTGTTTTTGCCTTCATGATTACTGGACTAGGAATTAAATGACGGTCTCCACCGAGATAGATCTTTATCACGCTACTGTCAGGTCAGAGTTAGTCTATGACTTAGAAATGGCAACTCAAATGAAACAACATAGAATTGCATCAATACAGCGTTTGTCACCGAGCATGCTGAAGATCAGATGACACGACCACGTTCCCGCATTGGCTGACGACCATGAAATACAGCAGGTGCTTAGAGATATAGACAACAGGTTGACATGATTCGATCATTTACAGGAAAGCCCCACCCAAGAATCACTAGCCTGTCAGCCGCTTACATCGGAGCCGAAACATGGTCAAGGAAAGAGCACATCAAGTGACTAAGAAAATAGATGACAAGGAACATTCTCTTCATCGTCAAAGTGAACAGCTTTAAG